AATTCTATGTAAATTACTGTTTTTTTTGTATGTTGGCTTGTATCTTACATATAAGAGTGCTTGCCAAACATAAGAGTTTCCTGTAGAGTCTGTAAAACCTTTTAATAATCAAATCATGTAGCCTCTGAACAGACATAAATTTGCTTTTTTTCTCTCATAGTGCTGACCCTTTGATATCTATCTCTTGTCTTGCTGGCACTACCTGAGACTAAGCAAAATACACTATAAGAGTGGAGGTTGTGGAGACCCTCGTCTCATTCCAGGTTTAAGAGGAAATGTTCTCAATACAATGACAATTTGGAGAGTTTAGGGCCTCACTCTTATATTTTACCACAATATCATAGATTATCAGAGTAAACCTCAGCAAAGAAGCTTAAGGGTTAGATTTTGTCATATGTTAACTGGACTTAATAGATATATACAGAATATCCCACTCCACATATAAAGAATGTGTATTATTTTCATCAGTACATGGAATCTTTCCAAACATTTTTCACATAGTAATCCATAAAGAAACTCTTAATATATACACAAAGGAGACAATTTCTTGTATCCTTCCATTGTGCAGTTGAATAAAAAGAGAAACCAATAGCAAGAGTGTGCATAGAAACTTCATGAATAATTAGAGACTGAAAGGCTTGCTTTTGAGTGAAGAGGTGGGTCATTGAAGAAATAGGGAAGAAATCAAAATTTCTTAGACTCAAGTGAGAATCAATGCACAGGATATCACCTCTTCTGGGGAACATTTAAAGCATCCACAAAAGTTACAGCTACAAGTGTTCCCGCACACAAAACTTCAGAGAAGTCTTAAATAGACAACCTAATGATGCACCTTTACACTCTAGGACTACAACAAGTAGCTAATCTAAAGCTTAGTATTTATCAAGTAATAACAAAAAGTAGTGCAGAAATTAATGAGCTAGAGGCTAAAAGAACAATCAACCAACAAAGAGCTGGTTCCTTGAAAAGATCAACAAGATTGATAAACATATGGCCCAATTAATAAAATGAAGAATGTGAATGTCAAATAAAAGAAAGGAGAAGTTACTATAGACCCCTGTGAAATATATATCATTACTACATACTGCATTAACTATTTTCCCCAAATCTCAAAAATTTAGCCATAATGGATAAATTTACTAAAATAAAGATATCACAGCTCCAAAATGAATAATGAGATTGATGCAGTAATTAAAGATCTTATCACTAAGAAAAGCCAGAACATAGGCACTCCTGAATGTTATCCGATCCCAGGAACTTCCTTGAAGCAATATTTTTTGAACTTTTATGATCTTAAAAGGGAAGAAACGGTTCCAAATTCATCCCATGAAACCAATAGTATCCTGATATGAAACCCAGAGAGGTACAATGTAAAAGAAAATGATAGACCTATTTTCCAAGAACATAAATACAATACACTGACTCTAATGCCCCTTCCCCCCGCAAACTGAACTCTAGATTATGTTGAAAACATCATATATCATGAATAAACAGGTTTGGTGTGGCATGGTGGTACATGCCTTTATTCCCAGTACTTGGGAGGTAGATGCAGGAGGATCATAGTGAATTTTGGTCAGACTGGTCTATCTAGTGAGACCCTTTCTCAAAAACAACAACAACATCATCAATAACAATAACAACCAAGACAAGGTAGATTTCATTCGAAAAATGCAAGATTGGTTCAAATGCAAACAAATAAGTGTAATTCATCATATGACTAGCCTTAATGCTATAAATATCATGATAATTCTGAAAAGTACAGAAGAGTCATTTGATGAAGTTTAACATGCTTTAATAACAGAAATCCTAGAGGAATTAGGAATAGATGGGCCTTATTTCAAAATAATAAAGGCTATATAAGAAACATATATTTAATGTTTTATTAGAGAACACAAACTGGAAACACCCTTCCTTCCTTTTTTCTCCCTTGTCTCTCTTTGTCTCTCCTTCCCTCCATCTACCCTGCCCATCCTTTGTCCCTCCTTTCCTTTTTCCCCTCCCTTCTTTCCTTAGTTTCTTTTTTCCCACCCCCACAATCTCAACAGGAAGCCTCCATCTGCCCAATGCCATGGTAGTCTTTTGCCTTCTGCTCATCCATCACAGTCATTGTATTTGTTCATATCTTGACACATGTTCCACTATGCATACCTGACACCATACTCAATGCTGACTGACAAGAAAACAGCCCATGAAGCTCTGGACAAAAGTTCTTTTCTAGAGTCAAGGAAAATAGGGGAGTAGTGATTGTTAAATCAGTTCCCATGCAGACTAAGAATGAGGTCATTATAAAGATAAATGGAGAAAGATGAGTTTGGACAGCGAGTAGGGGCTTTGAACTTCATTGTTGTTTTTATACAAGTAATTATTACTCATCTACTTTTTTTTCTTTTATCAAACTCAGTGTTCAGTAAGTTTTTAAAATTTAATACCCATTGAAACCATTTGGTGTTGCTTGCATGTTCCAGAGAGGGGGTCATGTACTGGAGCATGGGCAGGGTCTCAGCATCCTCATCAATAAAGAAAACCAACTTTTCCTATTTGCAAGATCTACCTAAGATCAAGCCAGACAAAACCCCAGCAAGGTGGGGGAGGGGTTCATGGTATTTCTTCTTAAGGGAGAATGTCAAGTTATTCCAATTGTGAACTTAGTATGTACCATGGCCTATCTTATGCAGTTTTTTTCACCTAGATATAGTTAATGAGCTGAAAATCTACATGGAATTCCTTGAGATTAACATTACTCTTTTCATTTTTAAGCCTGAACAGCAGAAATTACTATTTTCTATAGATCAATGACATCAGGTCAATCTCCACTGTTTATGTCAGTGACCCTGGGTTCATCTCCAGTGTTTGAAGTAGACACATTTACGAGTGTCACCTCTGTACCCCCAGTCAGTTTCTTGGGTGTCCATTTGAAGCTCTTGAATTGCAAGTATTGGTGGGTTTTCTTGCTCAAGAGAATGGCACACTATTTTCACAGGCCACCTCAGGTCAGGATCAGGAAGAGCTGAAGTAGTAGCACTCCTCTGTTTATGCTCATCCTACTAACAATAGTCAAGATGTGCAAACACTCATCAGCAGTAAATGGATGAAAAAGCACAACAAAAAGACCAGCGCTGTGCGATCCTATTCAAATAGGTTTCTGAGTCAGAGTCAGGGAACAAAACCACAGGAAGGTTTTTCCAGGGTTTGGAGTAAGAGCCATAGGAAAAGTTTTCAAGGGAATGGGGTAAGAGACACATGGAGCTGGTAACCATTGCCTGTTAACTTCCTATTATTCCAGAGATGAAAGATGTTATTGGGTTAAGTGTGTTTGTGTGTGTGTGTGTGTGTGTGTACGTGTGCACGCATGCACGGTCATGGCCCTTTGTAAAAGACAGTCCCACAGGACTTAGTTATTGTTTACATCCCTCACAGGGAGGTGGGAGCATCAGGAGTCCTATGTATCCAGCTATACCCTACCACCGGTTGCATGCAACTCTGCTCCAACTGTGGGTGGTCTTGGGGAGGGTATAGAGAAGACTAGAGATGGATCTTTATCGATGCAGCTTTGGGAAAGCTCTATTCCTTACTATATAAGGGCATTCCATTGTAGCCTTTTCAGGGAGGCACATCCATGTTCCTGTAAGCAACCCATCATCTATACTGTGTAAGGAAGCCCAATAAACTCATTGGCTCCTCAGAGATAATGTTTGGTGGACTCTGCTTTGGTTTGTGAGTGGGACCTGAGGAGGAGTAGATGCTGTTTATGTTCCTTGCTGGAAAGGGATTTTTAACAACACTGTATGCTCAAGTGAGAGAGAAAAGGAGAGAGAGAGAGGGGGAGAGAGAGAGAGAGAGGGAAAGAGAGAGAGAGAGAGACAGACAGACAGACAGACAGACAGACTTCATTATATTGCACAATAAAAAGTCTTTGGAGCATATGACTCTACTTACTATCAAGTAATTTATCAACATGTAATAATGACTGACAACATAGAATGAATAACAGTCCATAATTTATTAAGTTCCCATACATTTTTGATAATTTTATTTAAAAAGTCTTTATTGGTTCTCCAGAGGGAAAGATGAAGATCTGTGCTCAGAAGAGAAGCTGCAGACTGGATTCCATACAGAGAGAAAAGGAGAGTGAGAGTGAGTGGACTTGCATTCCATCAAGGTGACTGATAGTCTTCTGAAGTGGTTATAGCGTCAGAGAATGATGGGAGCTTCTGCCCATGTGGCAAGATTGGTGTGGCACAAGGACAGATGTTTGGGCATTGTTCAGTTGGAAAGTTGATGAGCAGTAGGCCTGGCAGCAGCTGGAGTCACAGCAGCAGGCCTAGAGTCCCTAGGTGGTCTCATGCATTGGTTTACACCAGGTTTTTTAACAGCAGGTTGGGCAGCAGCAGGGCTCACAGCAACAGGGCTGGCAGCAGCAGGGCCAACAGTAGCAGATTTCACAACAGCTGGGTTGGCAGCAGGGTGGGCAGCAACAGCTGGTCACACAGGTTGGCTTACAGCAANCATAATGGATAAATTTACTAAAATAAAAATAGCACAGTCTCAAAATGAACAATAAGATTGATACAGTAAGTAAAGATCTTATCACTAAGAAAAGCCAGAACATAAACACTGCTGAATGTTATCAGATCCCAAGAACTACCTAGCCGCAATGTTTTTCAAACTCTTTCATGAACTTAAAACAGAAGGAACAGTACCAAATTCTTCCACATGAAACTAGTCATGTCCTGATATGAAACCCAGAAAAGAACAATGTAAAAGAGAATGATAGACCAATTTTCTAAGAATATAAACATAATAAGCTAACCCTAATGCCCCTCCCCTGCAAACTGAACTCTAGAATATATAAAAATGTCATATATCATGAATAAGTAGGTTTAGCGTGGCATGGTGGCACATTCCTTTATTCCCAGTACTTGGGAGACAGACAGGTGAATCATAGTGAGTTTTAGTTCAGCTTGGTCTACATAGTGAGACCCTTTCTCAAAAACAGCAACATCATCAATAACAATAACAACCAAGACCAAGTAGATTTCATTCAAGGAATGTAAGGTTGGTTCAAATGCAAATAAACAAGTGTAATTCATCATATGACTAACCTTAATTCTAGAAATGTCATGATAATTCAGAAAAGAGCCAGAAAAGGCATTTGATAAAGTTCAACATGTTTTAAGGACAGAAATCCAAGAGGAATTAGGAATAGATGGGCCCCATTTCAAAATAATAAAGGCTATATGAGAAACATATTTTTAATGTTATATTAGATAACACAAACTAGAAATACTTTTTCTTCCTTTTTTCTCCTCTCTCTCTCTCTCTCTCTCTCTCTCTCTCTCTCTCTCTCTCTCTCCCTCCCTCCCTCCCTCCCTCCCTCTATCCTTTCTTCCTCCTACCTTCTTTTTCTCTGTTCTTTCCTTAATTTCTTTTTTTCCCACCCCCACAATCTCAACAGGAAGCCTCCATCTGCTCAATGCCATGGTAGTCTTTTGCCTTCTGCTCATCCATCACAGTCATTGTATTTGTTCATATCCTGATACATGTTCCACTTTGCATACATGACACCATACTCAATCCTGACTGACAAGAAAACAGCCCATGAAGCTCTTGAGGAAATTTGCTCTCTTTTAGAGGCAAGGAGAAGAGTGGAGAAGTGACTGGTAAATTAGTTTCCATGCAAACTAAGAATGAGGTCATTGTGAAGATAAATGGAGAAAGAGGAGTTTAAACATTGACTAATGGGTTTGAACTTTGTTGTTGTTTTTCTACAAATAATTATCACTCATCTACTTTTTTATTTTTATCAAACTCAGTGGAAAAAAATCAATGATTAGTAGTTTATTTTTTTTAAATTTAATGCCCATTGAAACCATTTAGTGTTGTTTGCATGTGCCAGAGAGTGGGGCCATGAACTAGAGCATGAATAGGGTCTCAGCACCCTCATCCCTAAAGAAAACCAACTTTCCCTTTTTGTAAAATCTGCCTAAGATCAAGCCAGACAAGGTGGGTGGGACATCCATGGTATTTCCTCTTATGAAAGGGTATCAAGTTGGACCAGCTTTGAACCTTAGAAGCAACATGGTCTATCTTGTGCACTTTGTTCACCTGTGTGTAGCCCATGCACTGAGAATCTACACCCATTTCCTTGAGTTTAACTTTAGTCTTTGCATTTTTAAACCTGAGCAGCAGAAATGCACTGTTCTATTTAGATCACTTACATCTGGTCCATCTTCACTGTTTGACATCGATACATTTACCACTGTCACTTTTGTACCACCAGTGAGTTTCGTGGATGTCCATTTGAAGTTCTTTAATTGCAATCATTTGTTGGCTTTCTTGCCCAAGAGCAAGGCAAGTATTCATCAACAGTAAAGGAATGAAAAAGCACAACAGAAAGACCAGTGCTGTGTGATTCCATTCAAATGAGGTTTTTGAGTCAGAATCAGGGAAGAAAACAGCAGGAAGGTTTTTCCAGAGCATAGGGGTAAGAGCCAGAGGGAGCTGGTAACCATTGTCTGTTAACTTCCAATTGTTCAGGAGATGATGGATAATATTGGGTCCAGTGTGTATGTGTGTGTGTGTGTATGTGTGTGTGCATGCACATGCATGTGTGTGGCACAGAACTGTCCTCTGAGCCAAACAAGTGCCATCTTGGAGTTGTGGCCCTTTGTAAAAGATCAGTCCAGCAGGACTTGGTTACTGTTTACATCCCTCACAGAGAGGTGGGAGGGTCAGGATCCTTAATCAGAGTATCCAGCTATTCCCTACCACCAGTTGCATGCAACTCTGTTCCAACTGTGAGTGGTCTTTGGGAGGGTCTAAAGAAGACTAGAGATGGATCTTTATCTATCCAGCCGTGGGAAAGCTCTTACTACTAATAAGTAAAGACATTCCATTGTAGCATTTTCAGGTTGGCACATTCATGTTCTTGTAAACTGTCCCTTATCTATGCTTTGTAAGGAAGCCCAATAAATTTATTAGTTCCCCAGTGTCAAATTTGGTGGAATTCAGCTTTGGTTTGTGAGTGGAACCTTAGGAGGAGTAGATGCTGTTTATGTTTCCTGCTGGAAAGGAATTGTAATAACAGTGTGTGCGAGAGGGAAAGAGAGGAAGAAAGAGAGAAAGAAACAAAGAGAGAGACTTCATTATATTGCACAATAAAGTATCTTTGGAGCATGTGACTCTACTTAATATCAAGTGATTTATTAAAGTGTAATGATGACAAACAATATGGATATGAATAACAGTCCATAAGTTATCAAATTTTCATACATTTCTTGATAATTTTATTTAAAGTGTTTTCTCAGTTGTTCAGAGGGAAAAATGAAGATCCAAGCTGAGAAGAGAAGCTGTGGGCTAGGCTCCATACAGAGAGAAAAGGAGAGTGAGAGTGAGTGGACTTGCATTCCATCAAGGTGATTCATAGGGTTCCGAAGTGGTCATAGCCTCAGAAGACCATGGGAGCTTCTGCCCACATGGAGAGAC